ATGTTCTAAAAATTATTGGTAATCCTTATCATCAAGCAAGGAAAAAATGGAAATAGCTATCAGAATAAATCAACATACTAATACTGGGATAGCAAAAATACACTGTATGTCCACTCTGTTTTTGTTGTTTGTTTGTTTGTTGATTGTTTACACATATGGATGGTTCCACAAGTACTTAGTCACCAAGGTCCCTTATTAGGCCTACCTATCTCACTTGTTCAGGATTTCCTTTGACTTTTGGAAAGGTTCTCATTTATTTTTGTATTATTAATATTCTAATACTGTAATAATAACAACAATAGTAATAGTGTTGTTATTAACAGCATTGAAAATTAAATGCATTTTTTCACAAATTCCAGGAATGGAGAAATCAGGTGATATCATGTGTCTACATATTGACACCTTGGTGGCTGAGCACTTGTGGAGCCACCTGTGTGCAACAGAATTTACAAAAAAATATGGCAGACAGTACATAACACCAAGATCAATGGATCAAGTTACTCACCCCTAAACTTATGTCATTCATTCTTTGACAAGACATTCACCAGCTTAAGAACCACTGCCCTATGGTACCCCTTCCCTTGTTGCCCAAAGCATTCACATCTAAATGAGAATACTTGACCTATATTGTGTAGACTATACTTGCTGACACAGATGAACATAAGTAACTCTACAGTAAACTTATTAATAGTCAAGTCACCATGTATGTTTCAACAGCAGGAAATTTAGGAGTAAACCTACTTAAATACATGTGTAGCAAAATTTCAAACTCAGAATGATAATACTGTTAAAAAATATAGGCATACACATATTATGGCATGATTTTCAGACCAAAGGCTGATTTCTAATGGGTGATGCTTCTTGGAGTGGCAATATTCTTCCCTTGACACACAGTTTATGAGTTATACTGCTTTCTTTCTGATTTGGTGTCCTCCAGTTGCCAGGACAAAAACTGGTTTATCTTTGACTACCAACTGAAGGCTTACTTTGACTTTCTGCAGATTATTTTGTAATCCTTATGGTGTTGTTCCATGTGTTCTTATGGTTACCTCTTAGTGTTTCTCTATCTCTTCACAGTCCCTATTTCAAATTTACCTTCTTTTGGACTAAAATTGAATAGCCTTCTCAAATCTAAACACCAAAATAAGGCTTCTTGCAATCAATGTATAATAATCATATTCTCCTTTTAGCATTTCACAATGCAATTCTCTAAAGCAATAACAGAAAGACTTACTGACTTGACAAATACAGGCAAGGAAGCCTTATCAGCCTAGTAATTTCATCACAGAATGTTCATTAACTCTGATATCACAAAAACACTTATCTGGCATCTATCTGCTACACTTTAATAAATTAAGCTTAAAGTGAGGAGGAGGAAGAGGAGGAGGAGGGAAAAATAATGATGATGGTAGAGGCAAAACAGGTGGAGGAAGAGGAGGTGGAGGTAGTTGGATGAAGAGGAGGTGGTGATTGCAGGAGGAACAGGAGAGGGAGGAAGAGGTGGAAGAGGAGGAATTGATGGAGAAGATGGGTGATGATGTAGATGAATCTGTTAAGGATGTGAGAGGATGTTGATGTGGAAATTGGTGTGGATGAGAATGTGGCTACTGATGTGAATGAAGGTGTGGATATGGATACTGATAAGGAAAAGGATGTGGATAGTGATGTTTCTGTTTCATTATTAACTTCATAAAAAAGTATAGCTGTTAAATGTTTAAAAATCCTAATAAATAAAATATACTGTAAATAACTGGTCCATAATTACCATGCTGCACAAGAGTTCCCTTAGCTGTGGAAGATCACTGATAAGGAAGGTGTACAAAAACTGCTTTATCTTTATCAGCAATGTTTTCACCTAGTGATTTTTGTTGCCTCAGTCACAATTATCATCTGTAAGAAGTTCTGTTTTATAATGCCCAATTTGGTTTTCCTATAACATCCTCATAAGAGGAACAGTGGACAACTATTGTAAACTTTTGTCTGCTTCATACTCCACCAAGGTTAACAAACTTCACAATAGTCTTAAAAGAAAAGTGTGAACCATTCTTTACCTAAAGATAAATTGCCAGGGAGGTCCACCTTGCCAGAATATACATGGTGGGGGCTGGTTGGCCTCTCTCGGCCATGCTGGAAAGTGTGGCATTCTTTCAGTAAGACCTCCCAGTTCATATCATCAGGTAAAGTCTGGTGTGCAGATGACAGAATGAAAGGCAGGTTTTATGATGAGCTCAGGAGCTTTAATTTTGTGTGTGTAACAGTTTGGCAGTTAGTTTAGAACACTTTTCCAGGCTGACCCCCCCTACCCTGGCTTCCAGGTGGATTCCTAGCACCCCCCTCAGTCACATACATAAAATCTCTCTTTAATTTTGCTTGTTATCCTTCATACTGAAAACAAGATTAAACACAAAAATGTGTTTCATATGCCACCCACTTTGGGAACCAATGGTCTAGAACATGGGTTCTTCTCAGCAGATTTGTCTCAGTCATTTGGTTACATATGTTGGCTCCAGAAACAATCAGTCAATTAATCTTCATTTTCGAAGGAATCAATTACTAGGTCTACATGATCTTACCTGTTTACCCAATTCCATAATTTTATTTTTATATAATGATGATTATATCTATATGGTAGAGAGAGAGAGAGAGAGAGAGAGAGAGAGAGAGAGAGAGAGAGAGAGAGAGAGAGAGAGAGAGAGAGAGAGAGAGAGAGAGAGAGAGAGAGAGATTTGGGTGGGTGGGGTGCATGCATGCATGTCTAAGTGTGTATGTATGTGTGTGTGAGAAAAAGAAAGAAAGAAAGAGAGAGAATCTGAAATTTGAAAGAATGGTTCAACAGTCAAGATCATAGGCCTAGTAACTAAATCGACAGTGACAAAGAACGTGTCAAACTATCTATATATAAACAAAAGTAATAAAACAAAACTACCTAGGTCTACAAGTCTTACTTTGTATATCAATGTTGAGTAAACATCAATCTTTAATCAGTAGGAGCACTAAATGCATGTACTTTTTAACTCATCCTTTTATTTTTGGGAAGAATTTTAGCAAATTTGGCTGATAATATAAGAGAGGATGGAGTTAACCCAATGTCACCAAGTGGTTTCCCAATACGAAAGCCCGCTCTCCTGGGCTGTATTCACAGTGTCCTGGGCCTGCTGCTGGGGGATCGTGGCATCTCCATAGTGTGCGCTGCATGGCCATTCATGCCCCCAGAAAACGGGACCAGTGCATCATGTCATGTATGCACAAGCCACCCGGAATAGAGTCCAGGCATGCCATGGTGTGTACATACATGCCCCCCTGCCGCAATGGATTAAGCACATAGACATAGGAAATTTACCATGATATATCATTCAATGCTAGTGGAAATCAATAAAAATACCTTTGAGTGCTAATAATCATAAGAGATGAAGTAAATGTACATAATCCAAGAAGATCCATTTATGTAATCTGCTGTATTTCTTGCCCCAAATCTCAATATGGTCAGCAATTATGCAATCTCTTATAAAATCTTAATACCTCTCACATTTTGCACATTTAACCAACTCTCCCTGTGATCAGTCTGCAGAAGCTTCTGAAGGTTTCTTGAAAGAACACTGTCACTTCATGCCAGGGGCATTCAATTCAATTAGCCTATATAATGACAACTTCAATTTTTTTTTTTTTTTTTCCAACTCATATTTGATTTATTGAATTTCTATTCATATACCAAATGACTGTAAAGCATTTCAATTGCAAAAGAACTAAGGCAGTATTCTGTCTGAACAAGTACTACACAATTATGAGTTCTTGGCGACACACATTCTTTGGCTCCTGTTTTGCAGATATATTCATATAGGTATACTTCACAATAACAGCTAAATAAGCTGCATAATGCAAATGCCCCAATATTAGAAAAATGCAAAGGCACACTTATGTAAAACTCAAAAGTTCATGTAACTCAACAGAATATAGCAATTTTCTTGTGTGAGTTCCAGAGCAAAGGACAAACTTCTTAATGTGCCCCTCGTTTGCAAAGAAAACATCATGTTTGCACATGCCATACTTTCCAAAAGAGCTTTCAAAAGTGCAGCTTCCAAGTCACTGCAGATTCCCGTTATATAAAAACCCAGTTCCTTTGACAGCCTTCACTTGCACAGATGAATTCACAAAGCAGCCAGTTTCATTTCTGTTCATTAGTACCAGAGAAGAGTTAACTTTCCACATATCTTCAAAGTCACATTCTGACCAACACAAATAGAGGTAGGCGAGGATAAATTGTCCTTAATTCCTGTGAAAGTTGAAGAAAAAGATACCACCGCCATCGGGACTCTGAAAACCTTTCCACTACAGATGACAATGAAGTGTTGTTTGCGTTTAAATCGAAATCAAATCAATGGGAAAGACACAGGAGCGAAATAGCGTTGCGAGGCGGCATTCCGGGCGGCCGCAGCGCCTCGGCCCGAGTTCCCAGGGCTGCTTAAGGCCTGGCGCCGCGTAATGGGATTTGCGAGTCGCTTTTGCACTTGTCTGCAGCCTTCCTGCCGCCCTTGCTTGCTCCTGGCCGCTTGTTTACTCGAGCGCCGAGTGACAGGAGGGCGAGGGCGGCCCTTCCCGTCCGCTCCGTTTTAGCGCCACTTCCGCCCTTACAAACCTCGTTGACGGCACGCACGTACTCACCATCTTGCAATATCCGAGGAGATCCAGATTGGTCGGATTTTCGTCCTTGAGAACAGGGAGGAAAAGCTGAAGGACGAAATATCTATCTCTTTCCTGCGGAGATCAGCTGGATGGTTTACCTCGGGCGTCAACGTCTGCCACGGCGCGGATCCACACCGCCGTGCAGAGCGAAATTTGTGACAGGCTTATCCAGTGCTTTTATATATTCCAATATATTTGTATATAAGTATACCCATGCAATATATAAAACTTAAAATTGATCTTAAAATAATCGACAATAGTGGATTTGCGTCGCGTTTGTAGCACGTAAGTAGTTGTCGGTGCGGCCGCCAGAGGGATCTCCCTTTCCCGTTTCAGCGTGTAAGTGTGAACGGCCGCCGCGGCGCCTCACTGTTTTCGACCTTTTCTCCCCCTTCGCGCTCCCCTAGGTTGGCGAGGGAGTCACACGAGACGGAGGAGAACCCTAGTGTTTAGTGCCGAAGTGATTTTGTGGGCCAAAAAGGTGTTCTTGACGAGAAAATCATGTTTGATATAGAGGATTGCCGCTTTGTTGATGTTTTTCGTGCACCACATTTCGAAGCCGAAAGACCTTCTGCCGAGATATTCCACGACAGCTCCAGCACGAGGGAAACTGGGAAGGCAGTCTCTCGTGGCAGGAGAATTTGCAGACCTCGGTGCGATAAATAGGAAATGTGTGTTGTCACGAGCGGCCAGACACGTGCTTGGGGCAAAAGGCGCCGAAGCTCTGCAGGAACGTGTCTCGGAGGCGCACGTGGAGTCGGAGCCTGGCCTGAGCCTGGCCTGAGCCCAGGGTCGCATTCCCACACGCGACGCCGAAGGACTTTAGCTTCCGTAGATATTTTGTTCCAACTGGAGGCCTTCAGCATGTTGGCTACGCGTTCTGTCCGCCAGCGCGAGGGACATGGGTGGACCTGTAGGGGTTCACTAGTTTCTCGGCGATTTAAAGGGATTGACTTCAGGTGCAATCTAGAGGGCCTGCTTCACGGGGAATATCAAATGTCAAAATTTTAGTTTCTTGGAGGTCGTTAGGGAAAGAAATTGTGATGCTGTTAAGGGTTTACAGGTGTCAATTTTAATTAGTAACTATTTACAGTATAGGCACACTTACTAGAGACCATCCCAACTCCGTCTCTAAATTAATCCACATTCTAAGTTGTCGTCACTGGGTATGCCCAAAGGAGGGTTGATGGGGGCCTCTGCATTTCTTGATTATTTCTTGTCCCAACAACCACAACTTTCTATCCTTTTCAAGTACACCATCGTCAATTTCCCGAGATGAACTATATTCTCCAACTATATTAGGGTATATTCGAGGTAGAACATGTGCTCCTTAACAGCTGTAAGTTGTGCACCAGTTTGGCCCAAGCTGGGTTAATGGTTAGGGCAGGGATGTGTTAAAGCAGCACAAATTGAAGGTCATATTCTTGTAGAGAACAAAAGTTGCAGTCCTCAGTACAAGAAAATTGTTAATTTTTTTATACAATCGGGTCTTCCCGGACAACATTTATATCATCAGATTTGTTCCCGTGTGATGAGAACCAATCTGACGATCCTTTCCGCCGCATTCACCAGCCGACAATCTTGATACTTAGAAGTCCCCATAGCAGGGGAGGGCATGAAGTAGATCAGGGTAATTACGGAGTAAAACAGGCCGAAATAAGAATAGAGGGATAATATGTAGTATAAGGTAGTGTCAGAGTTGGGTAGTAAAACCTACATGAAATGATAGAACAAGACAAACCAAGACAAAGTTCTTCTATGGCAATGTGTGTGCAAATGCTTCCCAGGGGTGCTAGGTATATATATTACCCTGGGGGTCCAGGGGGCAGAGCCCCCTGACTAGGGAATATATACCACAGTGTTAGGTTAGGTCACCCATTTGCACAAGGAACAATGCCTAGAGTCGTTGAAAGCAGTGGATTTCATGCTGAAAAATATCAAAATTGTTTCGAAAGTAACCCATCATCATCCCTTTTCTTTTACATATAGCACCCTTGAGAAGCATTCGCGCACACATTGCCATAGAAGAACTTTGTCTTGGTTTGTATTGTTCTATCATTTCATGTACGTTTTATTACCCAACTCTGCCACTACCTTATACTACATATTGACCGAATAGAGAACAAATGCGGAAAACTAAATTTCAACTTGTTTATTCTGATGTGCTTCCCCACTACATATCGTTTAGTGTTAACCAAGTACCATGTGACTAACACCCCCTGGGAGAAAGTAGCTAAATCATGTAGGGGCTTATCTGTAACATTACTTTGCACAGGAAATCTTAAACATGGCATTCCAGTATGACGGGTTGCTTGCAACCCGTCATACCCCCCATCAACCCTTCCTGCACAGAAAAGTGAATAAAGATAAGCCTGCTAAAACCATATACCATATTGTCTATTAAAAAAAATGGCAGGAAATGAAAGTATGCCCATAATCACTTACCTGCAACAACTTGGTAATATCAGTACTTGTACTTCCCTCATGGATTTGGCAATCTGGTGAATGGGGAACAAATTGCCACAACTTGTATACTGCACAATGGAGCTAGTGAACCACTTTGGTCATTTACTATCAAATAAATCGGCAGTCCAAGCTTGGCATCTGACAAAATTTGTTGAAGGTTTGTTAGGCTTTACTGGTGTAGGATTTATGCTGAAAATGTTTAATTTGATTATATTCATTAGTATCACAGCATCTGGAAGCAAGTGGGAAAAGTTGTCACTGCCTAGGTTTTTAGATATTTAACCCCTTCCTGATGGGTCGTGACCGGAAGCATCATAACAAACTACTTGATCTGTGGCATGTGGCTGTACGCCGTGGCTACGCGCTAAAGTGCTACAAGCCAGTGATTTGGCTTGGTGTGCCGAACTCCGGTGCTCAAAGTCGATGCATTGTCATTGATCTACAGTGTTTCTTTTTCTTTACCTGTCATTAAGGGGTTAAACTGCAGCATGCGAGAGGGCAGAGCCTATCACATGGTTTTTCCAACAAACTTGGTTCATCTCTCAATAATACCAAATAGTTCGGAAATCAGTTTGTGAAAAATAAGATGGCTTAACTCATATACATTAGGGGTTAAGATTAGCCCTTTAAGTCAGTACAGTCCCTTGCATGTTTTGCCCCATGTTAATGTGTGTCATGAATTGTTTTTAGTGTTTGCTTATGTTTATAGCTTCAGGTACTGAAGCAGCTGTGTTTAACCTGTACTGAAATATTTTTCTTTCCTACAGAAAAATAAGCCAAAATGACCAATTCCAAGGGTGTGCGTCGCGGCACGCGCAACATGTTTGCGCGTGGCTTCAAGAAGAATGGTGTAGAGCATCTCTCCACCTTCCTAAGGGTGTACAAAGTTGGCGACCTTGTTGACCTGAAGGTTAGCTGCAGATTTTTTTTCCCCACATTCTTACTTATTTTGATGAGCTTAGAGTTCAGGCATTTCAATTTGATTCTCCACTTGCAAGATTTTATTAATAGAATTGATGATGGTTACAGATATGCACTCCTGTACAAGTCCCCCCCCCCCCTGAAGCTTTTTACTTTTTAGTAACCTGATTTTTCCTTTGTTCCCAGGGCAACGGTGCCTTCCAGAAGGGTCTTATCCACAAGGCATACCACGGAAAGACTGGGCGTGTGTTCAACGTCACCCAGCATGCTGTTGGTGTCATTGTCAACAAGAGAGTCAAGGGCAAGATCCTGGCCAAGAAGTGAGTTCAAAGTTTTTTAAGCTTTGCACATAATGCTTGTTTTTATTGTGTAGAAAGTTTTGTTGTATTTGGTAAGATGTTTGAGTACAGATCATTGACAGAAAAGATTGTTAATCATTTAAACTGGACTTTTGAACAAATGTTTTGAGTGAATGTGTTAATGCACTTTTACTGGATATTTGGATATATTTACCTTTTGCCCTCCTCCCCAGGCTGAACGTACGTATTGAGCACCTCAAGCACTCCAACTGCCAGGTTGACTTTAAGAAGCGCATCAAGGAGAACGAACAGCGCAGAATTGAGGCCAAGAAGGCTGGAGTCAAGATTCCTGAGGGAGAGCTCAAGCGTAAGCCTGCCCTCCCCCGCTCCGCACACAGGGTCAACATCACGAAAAACAAGCCTGAATTCCTCACGCCACTGCCTTATGAGTTCATTGCTTAAATAAATCCCAAGGTGTATATATCTTTTTCTTTCAAACCTGTTTCTATTTCTACTGAGTATCCTTACTGATTAAGAATCATGTATAGATTACTTGACAAGTTCAAAGTTCAAAGGGGATGAAGCTGCAGCATTGAGTAGCCAATTCTTTTTATGCTCATCTTCATTTTATGCTGTTTGTGGGTGCATTAATTCTGCAGTTTCCTCAGTTAGGTGTAATAGAGGCAAGTTCATAAGAAACAAGCGTCAAAATGGTTATGGAACAAGTGGAAATCTTAAAGGTATTCAAACAATTATTTGCTGTTGGGGTTTTCTTTTCTCAGTCTTTTTCCTTGATTTATTGTCATGACATCCATCCATTTCCAACTCAATAAGTCATGATTCTCCTCTACTTTCTCTTCATTCCAATTATTTTTTTTTAGGGTGATCACATTTGCTGGTTAAGTTGGCATTGCAGTAAATTCTTTACATTAAGTAGTAAATCAGGCTTTATCATATTTTCTTGAATTATTATAAGTGGTAAATCCATGGATAAAATCATTGGAATTTTAAAAAGCTTAATCTTTGATATAACAGCCTATACCTTTGTGGAAAGTGCAGTTGGATGAAATTGCATTTGTTACCACTGGGGAAGCCAATAGCAAACAGAAAACTCGGCATCTGGGAAGCAAACTTGGTTGCATAACTTCAGCACATCATGAGAAAACAATCCATAAGGATGAAACCCCTTAATTCTGAACACATCTGAGAGCAAATGCCAGTGGAGTGATTTTGGAAGAAAGCAAACTTCCAGGCTGACCTATTTTTTAATCACCTTTACTGTAAGGCACATTGTAGGTAAAATTTTTATTGAAAAAAATTTCAACATCTAATGTCATTAGTGGCATATTCAAAACACTGCGACAGGGTAATGCTTAGGTGCAAAGCCCCAGGGTATGTAACCCCTCCCCCCTAATCCCTTGCAATCCCTTGAAAACTAATGTCATTTAATGCTAGCCTCTTGTTAGATATCGAGTTGTTAATGCCAAGCGATAGTCTGCAGGAATTGCCTTTCTCAACTGAGTATCCTTCTCAATGTAAGGTTTCAGTAAGATGCAACAAGTCACGATAAAAAAATCGAAATTTGTAAAACCTGCGAACTCTTCCAGTGGCTGCTTCTTCACTAGCCTAATTGTGGCGCTCAGGTCTTTTGTTTTTTTCCATGCCTTAACCCATGATCACTGGTATTCTTTCCTCATTCTTCACAAAGTTAAAAGCTATACTATACACATAACTACGGCGAAATAAAGGAAACTATCTTTGGGTTCTGTGCTACCGCGTATTCAGTCCTTGGGCATGTCTGGGCTGGCAAGGAGGCTGTTTCCGCAGTTGAAACACTGCATCTGGCAGAGTGGACCGAGATGGGTCGGGCCCGTGCGTAAAGAAAGCCAATGGAACGGAGACGGAGGCCCAATGCATTGACATTTCTTATCATTTCATTTTCCTTGTCTTCATTCCCTTCTGTCCACCTATCCTAATCGTTAATTCATTTTTATCCTTTTCGCTACAGTACTTGATCATAATGCTGCGTGACCTTTGATGTCTGGAAAATTTGTTTGTTTTGACCATTGACCATTCTGGAAGTCCGAAAACACCGCTTTGTGAACCAAAAAAAAAATCTTACCGATATATTCTGAATGTACCGCTAAAGATCTTAGATGTTGAAGTGGCAGAAAATGTTCAATAAATAAATAAATGTGCTAACCAAAGGTCATATTGCATGTATGTTTGCGAAATGGGTAAAATGTGTTAGTTGTCAGAGTGTAGAATGCTGTAAGATAGCATGATAGTAAAAAGAGTAACGAGGAGAGGACACGGCTCTCATATCTTTGGAAGTGGACAGAAGGAAGGAAAGGGGGAGAAAAAGATAGTTGAACGAGGGCTGAAGTCCAAAAGTGATTTTTTATTTAATTTTACATTTTCATGTAATCAGACCCTAAATCAACAATGAAAATTTAGCATCGTGGTATTGATACGAGCCGTAGTAAAAACTACTAAATAAGGCAAATACACCAAAGTACAGTGCTGCTCATCTTGTAAATGACACGAGGAGTCTTTTGGGGGAATGGCTGGTTCGGTATTGAAATGTTTGTTGGTACCTGTAGGGGTTGCTGTATTTATCATTACCCGAATGACTGACTGTTTATTTATTTATTTTTTTTTCTTCTAGAATTAACAGTACTCTACAGAAAAGGAGTTTTGATCTTGCTCTCTCCTAAAACTCAGGAAGATGTGAGGAAATCGCAATAAATTACGCTAAACAAAGGATAAAGTCATATATTTACACCAACATTATAACAAAATACATTATTAACCTGGTAACAGAAAAAAAAACAGCATACTGGAAATGCCAGAGAAGAATAATTTGCTTTGAATGATTTTAGCTTCTTCTCATTACCTCTGCCAAGTGAGCTTCACAACATTATGCATATATATGTGTGTCTGTTTGTTTATATATAGATGTATTTACACGTATATGCATGGTAGAGAAACCCACAATGTAAAACTAGATTTATTGAAAGTAACCTGAGGATGGAATCCTGGTGGATTCCAAAATTATAGTCTCATTTTCAATAAATCTAGTTTTACATTGTGGGTTTTTCTACCATAGTATCAACATGTTAGTGTTTTACCATTCACGTATATGTATGTATGCTTATTTATAGGTATACGTACATAAATGTTTGTGCATCTAGGTATGTATGTAAATGTGTATATAGGTATGTCTGTATATGTCTATGTAATTCTGTATGTATGTATGTACGTATTTATGTATGTATGTATGTATGTATGAGTGAGTGAGTGAGTGAGTGAGTGAGTGAGTGAGTGGGTGGGTGAGTGAGTGAGTGAGTGAGTGAGTGAGTGAGTGAGTGAGTGAGTGAGTGAGTGAGTGAGTGAGTGAGTGAGTGAGTGAGTGAGTGAGTGTGTGTGTGTGTGTGTGTGTGTGTGTGTTTATGTGTGTGTGTGTGTGTGCGTGAGCGCGCGCGCGCGCCTACTTTTTCAATTTAGATATTGATGTTGATAATCCAGCAATGAAATTATTAACACTACATTTTATTCACTATTGAAAACTTGTCTACTCTGTTAAAAGATGTCATGTCATCACTGTAAAGAGCATTTTCATTTTTATGTTATTGAGAATTTATAACCGGATTTCTCTTCCCCTGAATCCATTGCGTCATATCTTCGGCTGAGGCGTTGCACAGCAACTTTCAGGCCTCGCCCTCGGCTCCCGTGCACTGCTGTACATTGCAGGCATTGCTGGTTGACATGTGTATTGCGAGTCGATATAATTTTCTTCAGACATCTCCTTCAGGTTAATGGAAATCTGAAAGCTTCCACGCGTCGCCTGGCCCAAGGCTCAAACTTGCGGGAAGGTCGGCCTTGGTGCTCCCTGCGCGTTCGAGTGGCAGATGAAGTTCCCGAGGCCGAGGGAGGTCGCCAGGTCACCGAGCTCCGCTTTGTCTCGCGGTCGCTGCGTCAGGCTGATGTCCAGGCGCTGCGACACGCGGACGCCCTGCTCGTGCAGCAGCTCGAAGAGCCTCCTGATGCCCGTGTCTGTCGAGGGAAAGGTTTACGAGGTAAGTGGAGACCAGTACCCGTGCCTGGGCGTAGGTAAGGTAGAGCATCTTCACAAACAGAGCGAAATGGATCACTGTATACTCGCTATGGGACGTAGAACAAGGGTTTACTGCATTTCCATCGTTCAGACTCTAACGAAAAGCGACTTATAAATGAAATGCGCAAGGCGTAAATGAAGAACCTAGACACCAAACAGATGTAAGTGGAGGCCACATACGCGTGAGTTGTGTGTCTCTGAAGAAGATGCTGGTGCAGTTCCCGCCGGGCCGCTGGGAGCACAGCTTGGCCAGGACCCCGCTCGCCCACTGCAGGTCGCCCTCGCTGTCCGTCAGAGCGGGGGTGAAGGTGAAGCTCAGTTTGCGTCCAGGAAAGGGAAGCGGCGGCAGACGGGCCATTTCGCTCCTGTCAGGGTCCTCGTATTTCAAGCCTGAAGGAAAATGATACTGGCAACATTCCTCCCTTCGCGTGTGTCTATAGAACTAAATTTAATTTTGGTACCTTTTCCAAATGATTTGTCTTTGATAAACCCATATTAATATCTTAATTATTATGCCCTTCAATAATCAAACAAAAGAAGGTAAATTGTCATGAAATGATGAAGGAGTACACAGCATTGGCCCAAAAAGCAAGGCCGAGTGATGACTGGATTGTGGCTTATCACATGACATTACCGGTATAGCTTGGTCCGACTCGCATCTTTAGAACTGTACAGACCCTTTCACACTACAAATGGCTGCCTAAATGGCACTAAAACATAACATACACCCAGCGCAACACAGACCAACTTTCCTATTAGTTCAATTTAAGTCTTAAGTAAATATTCCGAATAATAAATGCATGATCAACTAAACTGCGGCCGCTGGTGTGTGTGTGTGTGTGTGTGTGTGTGTGTGTGTGTGTGTGTGTGTGTGTGTGTGTGTGTGTGTGTGTGTGTGTGTGTGTGTGTGTGTGTGCGTGTGTGCGTGTGTGCGTGTGTGCGTGTGCGCGTGTGCGCGTGTGCGCGTGTGTGCGTGTGTGCGTGTGTGTGCGTGTGTGCGTGAGTGAGTGAGTGTGTGTGAGTCATTCAGATAGTCAGTCAGTCAGTGTGTGTGAGTCAGTCAGTCAGTCAGTATGTGTGTGAGGCAGTTAGTCAGTGGGTGGTGCTTGTTAGTCAGTCAATGTGTGTGTGTGTGTGTGTTAGTCAGTCAGTCAGTCAGTCAATCACTCAGTGTGTGCGTGTTAGTCAGTCAGTCAGTCAATCACTCAGTGTGTGCGTGTTAGTCAGTCAATGTGTGTGTGTGTGTGTGTGAGTGAGTGAGTCAGTCAGTCAGTCAATCAGTGTATTCGCCACAAGGACTAAGGCGAACAAAGGAGCCCCTCTGCACTGCGACCTGTCACCGAGTCCTTTTGGAACGAAATGACTTACCCAGGATTTCCAGGTTGGGAAGGCACGGCAGGATGTCGACAAGTACGAGGACGTCCTCGAGGTTGACCCGCAGGCGCAGCTCCTTGAGGCAGTGCGGCACCAAGCGCAGCGCCGCGGGCGTCAGGCGGCCCCGGAAGCCCTCCAGGCAACAGGTCTGTCCGGCCGCCGAGATCAAACAGAATGTTTCTTCGGTGATCGACAAGTCCTGGTCGCTGAAGTAGAAATTCGGGAGGTCGAGGACCAGCCGGACGGCCTTTCGGGAGAGCGCGCGGAAGGCGGCCGCCAGATGTTCGTCCGCTGGGTTCCGGGAGAACGCCGTCAGCGCCAGCACTTTCACGCATTCAGGCACTTCGTCGAGGACAGGCGCCAAGGCACTCAGGCTGCTCGGTTCCTTCACCTGCACCCAGCCGTCCCACTTGCTGCTGTGGGCCTGCAGCTCGGCGGCGGCGGCCTGCACCACGAGCGGGTGCAGCCCCGCCTCCACCACGTGGGCCAACAGGGGGTCCACAGCAGTGGAGGGCACGTGCGCCAGGCTCAGCAGGCAAGGGGCATGGACCAGGTGCTCGCCGCGGCGCGCCAGGAGCCCCGTCAGATGGACCAGCACGTTCTGAAATCTTCGTTCTGACTTCCACTCGACGGCCTCGGCGAGGTACGAGTGGACGACGTCATTCTGCGAGTGCACGATACTCCGGAACAGGTCCCGTGCGGTGTAGAACTCCTGGAGTCTGAGGTGGTGGTAGGAGTAGGTTAGCACCGAGAAGGGACCCCGCCGGCAGGACCGCGCAGTGAAGAAGGCAGACATGAGCTCCTCGTGGGGAAGGCCCAGCTCACGGCACTTGCCTCGCAGGCACTCCACGGTGTCCGGCAGCAGCTCGTACTCGCGGCGCTTCATGGCCCTGAGCGCCAGGCTATCGCTGTAGTCCTCGAACTGAGAGATCTTGTGCGTAATGTCGGGGTCCCAGACCTTGCGCGAAATCCTTTCAGTAAGCTTCTCAGTGACCAGTTTTGTTAGTAATACATACAGGGCAGTGGCAGTGGTTAGAGTCTCTGTTATAGTTGGATCTTGAATGATTAGCATTGTAAACAGCGTGAGATTTAGTGGACTGTTCAAGTGTGTTCCAAGGTAAGTGTCCAGCCGTGCAAGTTGTT